TTTAAACGATTGTCATTTTAGTGCGTATTCCATGTGACGCTGCACTCTGTTGTTGTTGTAACAAATATTTATTAAAAAGTCCATTTAATTAAGTAGAATCTGTTGTCTATATTTATTTAAAGTTGCGCATTTTGATGTGACGTCACATTTCTCAACCCCACCCCCCTCGTCACACATCGTCACAAATGTCTGACCCCCCCCCCCCCAAGGTGCGTGACGTCATTTATGGACGGCCCCTCAATATAGATTCTCATTCTTTAAAGCGGCCCAGGGCCTCACCTAGGTCGACTCAGCCTCAAATGAGTAGCTGGGTGCGGTGTGTAGTAAACATCGCCACTGGGGGAGACAAAGACGGCCGGGTGTGGTGTCACAGTGCCGGCCTTCATAGGCGCCACTCGCTAACAGCACTTGCCCCAACAGTCTGTGCAGGCTACACGGGGCATCTTTGTGGGTTTGTATCGGTGGCTGTGTGGGGGGCGCCCCCCACACTCCCCCCCCCCCCACCACGAGGTGTCTCCCTCCCGTAGAACCGGCTACAGACCCTTGCTCCAAGTTTAAAACTATTAATTGTTTTGTATTTCTACCAGGTAAGAGTTGTGCAGATATTTTTCTGAAGCGACATGGCCACAAATGTTCGCTCAACTAAGTGGCTTAGCACGTGGAAACGCATAGCAACAATCACATACTCTAAAGTCTAAAGTCTAAACGAACGTTGATTTACAAACGTGGAGGGAAAAAAAGCGGAGGAAAATCCACGCGACCACGGGGGGAAAGAGAGAGAGAGAGACACGCAAACTCCAAATATACAGGGATCAACCCCACGACTTCCTGCATACCGGGCGAGGTAGTTAACATACCCCACCGTGATGTGCGATACCTGACTTAAGTGGTTCGTTACACACCGCACGCAATGAACTCAAGCGAACCACGGTGTTCGCTACCGAGTCACACATCACTGCTGTTCGAACCCGTCCTGTTGTTCCCCTTATTAGCACTGGCAAGCGGTGGGCACTTCAAGTACACGACTGCAATGTGGGCAGCAGAGGGCAGTGTCGTAAAATACTCAGTGCATTTCGATTTAAAGCTTTCGTGACTGCAAGGATTCATCTTCTTTGGCTCTTTCGGAGGACAGAGCTGGAGCGCTGGAGCGCTGTCCTCCAGACAGTCTCGTCCCTTCACCTGATGAAGGCCGCTTGTGTTGTGGCCGAAACGTCGTGAGAATTTTATTGTGTTCTTTTATTTTAGCAATTTATTACTTTATTCTCATTCTACGTGACTTTACCGAAAGAACCAAAGAAGATACTCAGTGCCGTTTAACACGCAGCCTTTCGCGACCAATATCAGCCATAACACAGGTTGTTTTGGGGGGCTTAGATCGCGTAAATAGATATTTTTATTCACTTTATTTTATTATTGTACTTTTTTCTATCTAAGTGACTTTACCGAAAGAACCATCGAATACGCGTAAATATAATAAATGTGTCGTTAAACCCGCCACCACCCGCCACAGCCAATTAGTAAGGTTTGTCACGCATACAGAACGTGTCAGTTCGTTACTAGTACAGCACACCGGTCTGTTGGAGAGCAAATGCACAACATTTACAATCTGAGTACGACGTTTCGCCAGTAATTACAACTAGCTTCATCAGGCGACAACCAGAATTGTAGAGAAATCCTCCTGTTTCGTTCCTTAAATAGAGGGGTAGATGTGATGACGTCACTCTTGCGCGAAAACCTGTATTATGGATCATGCATAATACAGGTGTTTTTGGGTGAGATCACACAAATACATGGCAAACCCTACTAAATGTTGGGGGCCGTCCATAAATGACGTCACGCGATTTTGGACGATTTTTGACCCCCCCCCCTCGTCACACAGCGTCACAAAAAGTCAGACCCCCCCCCCTCAAATATGACGTCACAAATCTCTGCCCCCCCCCCCAAAACCATATTTCCATTTAGAAAATAAAACATGCTTCAAATCGCCTTAAACTATTGTCATTGTAGTGCGTATTTAATGTGCCTTTGCACTCTGATGTTGTAGGAGAAAACATTTATTGAAACGTTTATTTAAGTAGAACGTGTTGTCTATATTTATTTAAAGTTGCACATTTTGACGTGACGTCACATTTCTCCCCCCCCCTCGTCACACATCGTCACAAATGTCTGACCCCCTCCCCACCTCAGGTGCGTGACGTCATTCATGGACGGTCCCTTGGTTGGTGGCGGGTTTAACGACACATATCTGCGTGATCTAACCCAATGGATACTCAATTGCAATGTGATTTGTTGTCATCACATTCATGCTCTACGCGTTCGCAGTGACCGGCGCGATGGAGTATGGTAAAACAAAACAAATACATTATGTTTGGAGTGGATTGATAAAATATATTGGTGGCTACAATGTAACAGTTGTTCTGCGTCAAAATACAATATATTACGTTAAACACTATGAATAATTGATGAAACTATTTTGTCAACTTCAAATGAGTTACTCATACGCTGTGGGTTCGTTAATATTTCGGTGTGGGCTGTTTTTACCACCCTCGACTCCACAGTGCTAATGATGAGCACAGGGGAGCCAAGTATGGCCAGGTGTGGTGTTGACGACATCTCCCCCTCTTCATGCACCAATCAAGCCTTACGGCACCTGCCCCAACAGTCTATATGGGGAATATGAGTTGTCTTTTGTGTGCACGAGTGAGAGGCGTGTGTGTGTGCTGGATTGGCAGAGACAACACGAGGGTGTGTGATTACTCAACCCGCACAGTGTTGTTATTCCATGCTGTGTGTTGCTCTGGCGCGGTTTGTGTGTACTTAATGTAAAGTACACGGTGTGTAATGTAACCGCGATACGTTGTGTGCACGTTTCGTCTCCCAACAAGGGTACAGATGCACATGTTGATTCAACAGCCCGATACGCATGGCCGTGGCGATTTGTTTCATTCATATATATTTGGTAACCTTTCAAAAATAACGAGCGGTATGTAGGTTGGCACGTGCCCAGGCAAAGCATCTCCACAGTGATTTTCTGGAATATTTTTTTGAAGACAAAAATCTCTACGAAGACAATAACTTAAAGAATATATTAAAATAATAATAGAATATAATTATAATTAATTTCCTGCATTCCAGCTCACCTGCATTATAGCCACTGAATAAAACAAGATATTTTTTTTATTTTACAATTTTGACATTACCATTTTTACATAATTGCATCAAAACACTGTTATTCACATAAAGCAAATTATTATTTTTGGAAATTGCTCTGCGGTTAAAGGGGTTAAAAATCGGCAGCATACGTCTGAAAGCAATAGGGTTGGCAGGTAGCGTATGCCATTGTTGTTGATGCAGACAATAGCACATTTTCACAAATAATCTCAAGTACATCATGATTCAGGCCCTTTGTGTACAATGCAGTCCTGTGTACATCAGAACTCTTACGTGAGGGACCACTCTCGCGGGAACTTTGATTACCGTATTCACGCACCTAAGAATTTTATCCACTTAGCCACTGGAAAATGCACGGATAAATGCAGATGCGTACTTGGAAGAAGAGCTCCACATACAATAGGAGGCGTGGGTAATAGGGTCACGGATTCGAGTGGCTTTCCTGTATAGGAGCTTCCACTGCACATGGTGTACTTGAAATTGCGTGGTACATGTCGACCCAATGCGAAAGGTAATTGTGCTATGTGTGTGTACAATCTCACACAAATATGCGTGTCGCACTAACATCCTCCACAGCCGATAAGATCATGTTTTGTTTTATTTTCTTCCAGATGATTGAAACTCTGGGCTGGGAATCACGTTTGTCTATAAAGCCCATAGGCTGTACCAAGCTCGTTCCAGTTGAGGGAAATTGTGCAGGTTGGGCTGTCGTTCTGTTTAAGGTCCCTGAGTGAAAACCAGCACTGTAGTTACCGCATTGCTTTACAGCTTAGAATTTTAAAAAGGCCACATTTTCATTTTTCATGGCAGTTGGCCAGAGCACATAGGGCTTGCAAGATCCTGTTTGTTCCCATGATGCCCTGCAGCATTATGACCTCTCACACTGCTTGTGATAATGTTTTTTTAAAAGCACTGTATATGTTCTACAATAATGCCCGATCAAACAGCCTGGAATCCTTTAATTATAATTATAATATTTATGACCTTGTGGAAATACATTTTTTACACAATTACTGTATGGGGGGCTATGTGGTAAGCAGCAAAGGAGTTTAGCGTAATCCATTTCTGTACTGTACTTCTTTTCTGACACATCTTTGCTGCCTGTTTACACTTACCCGCACTGACCAGTATGTGGTCAAATAACCCCCACAATTCGCATGGCGTGGGGAGGCCCTCATTCAGCTGTGGATTGATACAGGGCTGTACATGCGCATGTACCACATGTACATTGAAAAGCCATGTAGGGGGATGCAGTTATTCACAAAACTGCCCAAACACATTTTTGTATTATCATTATCACCATTGGTGGTAATGGAGACATTGCACTTTTCCCCCCAATTGTTTTTGCAAAAGGGACATTCGCCACCATATGTACCGGGTCCTTCGCATTATAAATGTGTCATAGATTTTGTCGAGATGGGTTATTTTGCTCTCACAATATGCTGAGAAAGTCATGATATAGTCACGCATAAATTCAGCTATCAGAAAACATTACCCACAAACCACAGAGTTAAGTAGTGGCCATGTGTTCCATGTAAAGTACACTAGAGTTTAGACTACAAGCGTAAGTCTGCTTGTTATTAAACAATACATTACAATAGTAACAGAACATGACTACCACTTCATAGCATGTGACTGCCACTAAAACGGTATTGGTGCTCATGCGTTTAAATTTTTAACCCTATTTTAAATTGCAGTTGTTTTTGGTTGTGGCTTTCAGATGTTTTACTCTGGGGTCTTGTAACGCAAATTCACAAGCAGGAACTTCCACAATCCTAGGACGTTGGGAAATCTCGATCATGTGATTCAATCACCCACATGAACATCTGCCAATGCCACGGGAAGTCAGATTTTGATGTACCTCGGAGAAGGACCATATACTCTAAAAAAAACATTACACTATACAGTTTTCACTGGTAAGGCACTCATTTCAATGTTTGCATGATATTGTACTAAGCTTTGAGGTTTATGAGGTTGCTTCATGAGTGTGGTGGTTTCATTGTTTTTTTAAATGAATTTGTCAACACGGCAGTGTGGGAAGTGTGCGGTGGTGGTTTCAGGCGGACGTTGCAGCACTTTTTGGTTCTACCCACCCAGAGCTGTAGGCCTCACCAAGCGTCGATCTCACTTCTGAGTGAAGACTCACAAGCACGGAGACCTGGGTCACAGTCTGGCGAACACACAGCGTCAACCTCACCCAGGTGGGTTTGTGTGTGGCTAGTATACCTATCGTCACTGAGTGTGCCTATTGAGACTGTGGGGAGCAACAACGTCGTGCTTAGCATGCTATGCTTCGAACCTGACGACTCAAGTTCCATTCTCGCCCACGGCTAACATTGGTGGCGAAAATCTGAACCGGTCCTGGGCCTCCCATCAGTCAACTGTTAAACGAGTACATGGTGTGGTACGTAAAAATAACCACTCGGGAGGTAAAGGCAGCTGAGCGTGGTGCTGGCCATACCACCCCTTCGTGTACCATGTTGGCGTTGATAGGTGCTCGCCAACAGCCCTTGCCCAAACAGACTGTTTATAAATGTTATCATGGGGGATGGAGCGATGCATTGATTCACTGATTAGTCATATCAATTCTTAAGTTCGCATTACGTGCATTGAATGTGTGTAAGAACTAATGTATGTCATGAGCTTACATCACCCGAGCAGCCACTAGAGGTGTTATCGTTTTTCCAAAATGTTAAGAATTGGTTCTTGAATAAAACCGTGAGCCTAAAATGAAAATAATTATCAAATAACTGTGGGTTGTGGTTGAATCGTTCCACCTATACTTTGTAGTATCGATGACTTTGTGTGTGCAAATCCAGTGTAACTGTAAAATATAATGTAAGTGTGAGTTACAAGAGTGGCTTTATAGTCCCAGCACGAGACATTTTTATTGCCGCTGTAGTTTTGCTGTTGAGTGTCACCTAACAATTGTGAACCTTGACCCTTTAGTGGGCACATATTTTTTAAACGCCCATATTTAAACAAAAGCAATACAAATCAACAAGGCCTTCACAAGACTCTGCTCATTCACAGGTTGCACGTGAACAACATCCCTCGTTCTCTTCGTACAGAACTCCTCATCCACATCGACTTAGCAGAGCATTGTGGACCCTATTATCCATGGGGTTCTTTGTGAAACTATTCCACTTATCCGTGGGAAAAATCGCAGATACTAGGAAGAATAGGTCCGTGCATACTATACGTTTTTGGAGAGACTCTGCACATTACCTCCCATGTCTTATAGGAGTTGTGGCCAATAAGGTCGCAGATAGGAGACGTTCTGTATGGTTGGCATGGTGCACAAGTATGTGGGGTGGCTAGCGTCAGGCATGTTGACCCTGTCTCAAAGCTAACAGCTACGGATGTGACCTCACCACACAAGGTACTCGTCATCTTCGGTGGAGATGGCCGTAGAGAAACCCAATCCAGTAGTTGTAAAGTGATGGATCATTTAATCAGGTACTGTAGAATTAATTGCTATGCTCAGATCTTGCGTGAAAGAATACATTATTTTAGATTCACGCAAATTATGTATGTATTTTACATGTAGGCTGAAAAGGTTAACTTAAGTATGCAAATAATATGGACACAAGAAACACGACTGTACAAATGGGGGTGTAAAACCAAATTTTTTTTGCAGTGAATTGAAACCCAGCATATTGATAATGGTTTTTCTTTAGTGAATGCTGTTTTACTCTAGCTTACTATTTGATGTAGACCGTAATCCATCACAGAGACAATAAAATGATTTCAAGCTGTGCTGTAAGTCATACGTAGGTGGATGCATGCATGATAATTGGAGGTCTAGGCAGGCAGAGGGGAAAATTCCACAAAGCATCCTTCATCCTGAGGGCCTTCATGACCATTGTTTTGGTCGCAGCAACACCAAGGGGGGTGAGGAGTGGGCCCATTTTACGAAGTTAAAAACAAAGCCTGTCAAAAGTCCATCCATATGCATTCGGAACATGTTTCAATCCTTGATTTAAAGCTTTCGTGACTGCAGTAATTCATATTCTTAGCTCTTTCGGTAAAGTCACGTTGAAGGGAAACAATAAAATAATAAAATATATATAAAACAATAAAGATTCTCACGACGTTTCGACCATAACACAAACGGTCGACACACCTGATGACGACCGTTTGTGTTATGGTCGAAACATCGTGAGAATTTTTTATTGTTTCATGTATATTTTATTATTTTATTGTTTCCCTTCAACGTGACTTTACCGAAAAAGCTAAGAATATGTTTCAATCCATCAATGATTGGGCCTTCTTGACCACTGTGTTATAGCAAACATGTGTTTAAGCAGACACTACTTGTATAATGCTGTGTATGTGTATTCATCCCTGTGTTTAGTGCCGTTAGATATATTTATTATATGTTGGAGATGATATACAGTGCTGTTTGACCATACTTCACCACGCTGCTCAGTTTGGGTTTCAGAAGTCGAGAGTTGCGCAGGTCTGGCTCAGACATAACTCGTCCCTGATGTTAGAATGGAACTTGGATCTCTGGGTTCAAAGTGCAGGGCACTAGCCCAGGGTGGAGGCCTTCCTCCTGCAGGTGATTGACAAGGGACTGTAAACTACAGTGCCATAGTCGTTGTTACAGTGAATTTACACTGCAAAAAGACAATCCTCGAAAGAGCACAAACATTACATTTTCACGTTCCCTCGAGTGCATTTCTGTGTGAACAGCTCCAAAAGTGAGCATATATTAATGTCCATTGCTTAATATACAATTTGATTCAGTATATGCTGTATATCCGATATGCAGCCCTGATTTCTATAAATACTTGCAGTACTGTGTATGTGTAGTAAACCCTATATTAAGCGCAATGATATCTATTTGTGGGAATGATATACAGTGTGTGATGGGTGATGCAGTTATAATCATCACGCTGCACTATGAACTAGGTGATGTTCGCCATGATTCCTTTGGCGAGTGACATCTGAGCCCTTCTTGCTCCCCACCCCCCCGCCCTTTAACAACCCACACTGACCAGTATGGTGAAGTATGATCAAGGAACTCCGATGACTGGAACTGAGCAGGAGCCCTTCATCTAGCAGTGGACTCACAAGGGGATACAATCACACAGTAGAGTGCATTGGTGGAGTGTTCTCTGTCCATGTTACAGACATTCAAACTGCATATCAATATTTTTCAAAACAGCACCAAGACTAAATCTTAATTATTAAATACAACTTACATTCACGTATTGACGACATTATTAACGTCCCAAAAAGTACCAACATGGACTCGAAAAAAACCACCCATGAGCTGTCATTTCCATCTCGTGGGAGAATGGAGGTGAGGCGGTAAGAGAGGGGAGAGGTGGAAAGGGTGTGTGTGTGAAAGGAATTTATAACATTCAGCTGCATGAGCGTGCAGAAGCACGCTTCCCTCCCGAGATATGTCATTCCATGTCTTTTGCATGACTTTTTGCCGTTTGAACAATATCTGTAGGCATTTTATACGGCAGTTTTGTAATTAGTTTTAAACCTTCAACTCAACACCTGTATATTACCCAGGTATCTGAGATGATGAAAGGTGCAGTGGACACCTACGGGCTATCTGCCCATGGATCGTTATGATTATGATCTCTTGATAAATATACATGCATAGCTCGCAGTAGTTTTTCACCTTATTCAAAGGACATCAGCTACAGCACGAAACGACAGCGGACTCGCTATGCACTGGGAAACAAGACTGCAGAGGGCAATATAATCATGGATCATTCAAATGCATCCTAAGGTGCTGTGCAAAATACTAGGATACGTGCATCACAGGAACTACACATTTTTTCCATGGCAATAATTATGTAATCTCTCTTTAATAACTTCCGTAAATGATTATATATGCAAATGTGAAAAAAGCCAATTTAACATGGAGGCTTTTGCCACCAATATCATCCATAATACAGAGTTTTTGGGTTAGATCGCGTCAATATAAATGTGTCGTTAAACCCGCCACCACCGGACACACATTTATATTTGCGTGATCTAACCCAATAAACCTGTGTTATGGGTGAAAAAAGCAGTTTCCTTAAGAACGTGAGGCTTCTGATCAGCAACAACTGGGGGTCCCAAGCGTGATCCTCCCACACACAGATCAAGATTGCAAACTCAGTTTCTGGTTTAAAGACTAGCTTTGTTCCGTATTGTTTCCTCGAAATAATATCGGCGGCTCTGCCATGATCTGCACATAACAGGAATTGTTTTGGGGGCCCATGAAAATAGAGTTGGAGTGAAAAGCAGTGCTGACTTGATGCAGGCAGCCTCTCCGCACCGCGCAGGAACCCGTCATTCTGGTGAGTCCCACCGCAGTGGCGTTTGTGCCGTTCAGCATCTGCGGTAGTGTTGGTTTGTACATTCCTGAAATGGTTTGTGGATTCTGGTGGGGTTTTTTTTAAAATGGGATTTTCTTTCATTCTTCCTTCACAGTGTATTTTTTTTTAATTTTTAGATTATTTAAATACAAAGCAATATTTTAAAAAAACATTAGAAGTTGTAAACTGGCTAAATTTGATGTCCTTGGAAATGATGACGGTTTCTTAAAAACGCGGACATGCCACGGTATTTCTCCACTTACACAAAAACAAATATATGTTTTAGTCCATCGGCCAATTGGCTTTCCAGCAGAGTTTGTTTGTTTGCTAAACAAATTAAATAACAAATGTGTGTCTGGAAAGCAAACCAATGACAACCCAACCTGTGGCTTGCAAGAAGGGGGGGGAGGGAGGTCACACTCTTTCAGACGCAGAAGCAGTCCATTGTTTGAGTCTTGGGAGAGGAGGAGGAGCAGGAGGCGGAGGAAGTGGAGGTTGTTGTTATCGTGAATGATGTTGGCTGGGGTGGTGGGCGTGTGTACTCAAGGAGGAGTGTACAGGTGGAGCCTGCGTGTCAGGTTCTGGGTGGGTGAGTGCGTGACACTTAAGCACGGAGACAGTGAGAGAGAGAGTGTGTTAGAGAGAGAGAGAGAGACAGTGTGTGTGTGAGAGAGTTTGTGAGAGTGTGTGTGAGAGAGACACAGTGTGTTAGAGAGTGTGTGAGACACAGGACAGTGATTCATTGTCGGGAGGGAGGATCAACGTGAGAGTGAGGAGGGCGGTGGAGAGAGCGGCAGCACACACAGAGGGCGTGTGCACGAGGGAGTGGCTGCTGGGAGTGGCGAGTGGCGGTGGTGGGGGTGGTGGTGGTGAGGAGGAGGAGGAGAGCCCTGGTGTGGTGTGGTGGTGGTGTCATGTTCGAGTTAAAATACGCTAGGGCGAGCAGCAGGGAGGACGAGCGGAGCAGCCGGGCACCGGGAGCCATGGCGTGGGTGACGGGAGACCCCCTGGGCATGGGCTGCGTGGCCATTGACATGCTCTGTCTGCTGCTGGGTGAGAGACACGTGCTGCACGTGCTGATATCAGCACACAAACACGACGCGGGAGACGTACACAATGGTCGCTCGTGTGAAATGAATGCATCAGGTACACGTTTATATAAACATTGTTCAATAGCTATGCAGTTCCTGACTTACACAATACACATACTACTGGGTGAATACACACAGGGGTGGTGTCAAATGAACGCACAGATACACTACATAAAAACACAATAGTGTACATACTTGTATTGTGCACACACTAACAATGTATGATAAACGCTATATATAGCACACAATGCATATACTGCATTGCAGTGTGTAACACAGTGCACACGCATGCTCACACAGTATACAAGACAGGCGCGTGTACTGTGCACAACGATATACACACAGACACGCACACACAGACACACGCACACACACGTGCACAGACACATACACGTGTGTGTCTGTGCACACACACACACACACGTGCACACACACACGCGTGTCTATGCACACACACGCGCACACGCACACACACACGTGTGTCTGTGCACACACACGTGTGTGTGTGTCTGTGCACACACATACAAGTGCACACACACGTGCATGTGCACACTGCACCACAAAGACGCCCCCGTACGGACGTGAACAGACCGCCTATGAAGGCCGACACGGCAACACGAGGGGGTGGATGGGTGGCCAGAACCACGCCCGGCCGCCTTTGTCTCCCTAGATGGCGATGATTACACACCCCACCAGGTACTCATTTGAGGCTGAGTCGACCTAGGGGGAGGTCCAGGGCCCGATTCAGGTAATCGCCACCGGTGTTAGCGGGAATCGAACTCGGGACGCCGGGTTCGTAGCGCTCACCGCAACACTACCGCTCCCCATAGATACATCCACACTACGTACTAACCACACACTACACACACACTACACACACACAGACTACACCCACACACCACACACACTACACACACTACACACACACACTACACACACTACGCACTACACACACACTACACACACACACTACACTTAGTACACACTACACACACTAAACACACACACTACACACACACACTACACACACACTACACACACACTACACACACCACATACACACTACACACAGACTACACACACACTACACTTAGTACACACTACACACACACTACACACACACAGACCACACACACACTACACACACACTACGCACTACACACACACTACAACACTACACACACACCACACACACTACACGCACACCACACAGACTACACACACACTACACTTAGTACACACTACACACATACTACACACACACACTACGCACTACACACACACTACGCACTATACAGACTACACACACACTACACACACACACACCCCACCCACACACCCACACCGCACCCACATCCACACACCCACACCGCACCCACATCCACACACCCACACCGCACCCACATCCACACATCAGACACATCACACCCACACCACTCCACCACGGCACCCACATACACATCACACCCACATCCACACATCACACACATCACACACCCACACATCACCACGGCACCCACATACACAGAGTATTCTCCTGTACAGTCCATAGGCACGCATGCAATCTACCTGCACTGGACACACAACACCCGCACGCACATCCGGTCACACATACGTGTACCTGTATAGACACACACGTGTACCTGTATAGACACACACGTGTACCTGTATAGACACACGTGTACCTGTATAGACACACACACACACACTCGTACCAGTATAGACACACACGTGTACCTGTATAGACACACACGTGTACCTGTATAGACACACACGTGTACCTGTATAGACACACGTGTACCTGTATAGACACACGTGTACCTGTATAGACACACACACTTGTACCTGTATAGACACACGCACACGTGTACCTGTATAGACACACGCACACGTGTACCTGTATAGACACACGCACACGTGTACCTGTATAGACACACGCGTGTACCTGTATAGACACACACGTGTACCTGTATAGACACACAATTGTACCTGTATAGACACACACAATTGTACCTGTATAGACACACAATTGTGCCTGTATAGACACACACAATTGTACCTGTATACACACACACACGTGTACCTGTATAGACACACACAATTGTACCTGTATAGACACACACAATTGTACCTGTATAGACACACACACGTGTACCTGTACAGACACACGCACACGTGTACCTGTACAGACATACACATTTGTACCTGTATAGACACACACACACGTGCACCTGTATAGACACACACGTGTACCTACCGCTCCCCATATATACACACACACACGTGTACCTGTATACACACACGTGTAACTGTATAGACACACACACTTTTACCTGTATAGACACATACACACGTGTACCTGTATAGACACACACGTGTAACTGTATAGACATACACACACTTGTACCTGTATAGACACACACACACGTGTACCTGTATAGACACACACAATTGTACCTGTATAGACACACATCACGTACAACGTTCAACAAAGACAAAGAGACGTACTTGCTACAACCCACACACACTGTGTACACACACAGTGTACATACACATACAGTGTACATACACATACAGTGTACACCCATATACAGTGTACACACACTGTGTACACACACTGTGTACACACACATTGTACACATACACACATTGTACACATACACACATTGTACACATACACACATTGTACACATACACACATTGTACACATACACACATTGTACACATACACACATTGTACACATACACACATTGTACACCCACACACAGTGTACACATACACAGTGTACACACCACACACAGTGTGTACACCCACACACATGCACACCGTATGCATGGATACAAAGACAAAGATCCCCCGTGTAGCCTTAAACAGACTGTAGGGGCAAGTGCTGTTAGCGAGCACCGATGGAGGCCGGCACGGCACACGAGGGGGTGGGTGGCCAGCACCATGCCCGGCCGCCTTTGTCTCCCCAATGGTGTTGTTTACACACCAGGTACTCATTTTAGGCTGAGTCGACCTAGGTGAGACCGGTTCAGATTATCGTCACGAGTGTTGACCGAGAGCGGGAATCGAACTCGGGTGGTTGGGATCATAGCGCAGCGCTAACCACTACACTACCGCTCCCCATAGATACATCCACACTACACACACACTACACAGACTACACACATACTACACAGACTACTCACACACTACACACATACTACACACACACTACACAGACTACACACATACTACACAGACTACACACTACACACACACTACACACACACTACACAGACTACACACATACTACACAGACTACACACATACTACACAGACTACACACATACTACACAGACTACACACTACACACACACTACACACACACTACACAGACTACACACTACACACATACTACACACACACTACACACACACTACACAGACTACACACATACTACACACACACTACACAGACTACACACATACTACACACACACTACACAGACTACACACTACACACACTACACACACACTACACAGACTACACACACACTACACACACACTACACAGACTACACACATACTACACACACACTACACAGACTACACACAAAACTACACACACACTACACAGACTACACACTGCACAGACTACACACACACTACACACACACACTACACTTAGTACACGCCCACACTGCACACCCAAACACACTACACACGTAAGTACATGGTACACACACACACACTCACACATCACACCCACACACTCATCACACACTCATCACAGCCACACACTCATCACAGCCACACACTCATCACACCCACACACTCATCACATCCACACACTCATCACACCAACACACACTCATCACACCCACACACTCATCACACCCACACACTCATCACACCCACACACTCATCACATCCACACACTCATCACACCAACACACAATCATCACACCCACACACTCATCACACCCACACACTCATCACACCCACACACTCATCACATCCACACACTCATCACACCAACACACTCATCACACCCACACACTCATCACACCCACACACTCATCACACACACTCATCACACCCACACACTCATCACCCATCACACCCACTCACACCGACACACTCATCATACCCACACACCCATCACACCCACACACTCATCACACCGACACACACTCATCACCCATCACACCCACACACTCATCACACCCACACACACATCACACCCACACTCATCACACCGACACACTCATCACACCCACACACTCATCACCCATCACACCCACTCACACCGACACACTCATCACACCCACATCACAACTCGGGTGCACACCGTTCGTTTGCCGTTTACACCAAATCCCATTGTTGTGCCTGTCGCAGTTTCCCTACAACTATCTGGTGCACATCATCACTCTGTCGTTCTTGCGAACAAACGAATCCCATCTCTAACCGCGGAATAGCTACTGCCATTTGACTTTCTCGCCCGGCACGTAACGAACACGCTCACAATGGGATTGCTGCGCGCTAATTGTCAAGTGTTCACGATTATGTATCCGTGGGATGTCTTCATTTAACTTATTTCTCTCTCTGGACTGGACTGTTCCACAACAATTTAGCTTGTGTCACGTGTGTGGCGGGTCCAGTTGTAAGCGGATTTTCCGAGGGAGTTTAACCGGTTTGTCCACCCTCGGAGATGGAATTTGTATTCACTTTCCTGGCTCATTTGAATTGGCATTGCTTTTTTTTATTGTGCAGCACAAACAATTTGTAAAATCGTCAGTTTACTTTCGCTTACATGTTAACCCATACGGTTTATTCTTGTACAGGAGGGAAATTGGGTAAAACAATGTTTTTGTCTATTTGTTTGTGTTTCTCCCTTGTGATGGGACTTTGTAGGATGAATGTTGAGATTTATAAGGGACACGGGGATGACCAATAAGGTCTGAAATGGTCTGTAAT